CAGCTAGCTTGGTGGCTTACGGACACCAAGCAATAGATGGAGTCCTGGCCCACGTCCCTCTGGCCGTTGATTCAGCGGGTTTGTGGACTCGTCCTGTGGTCATTCCTGGGTCTCCAGGTTCACCATGGGATGGATTTACTTGGCAACCACCAGAATCCCCTCATTGTTTCCCTGACCTGTGGAGTAAGAGCCGCTGTAGCAGAAAAGGCCAGAGTCGGAAACTGCCCTCATCTCCCGGCAGAGAGCAACTCAGATGTGTGCCTCATTCCGGGTGGAACCACAGAGATTAATGCCACCCTCAGGGACATAAGGATGCAGGAGCGGTGGCCCCGTCACGTTGCCATTCCATTCACCTGTGTGGCCTGAACAGACCAGGCGGGTGGCGGCAGGTGGTGGGTGGTGGCGTGGGTGGTGGTGTGGGTGGCGGTGGGTGGCAGTAGGTGGCAGTGCACTGCAATAGCTTAACCAAGCGTCAGCTCTCATTGCTGCCTAGCCGGGTGTGGTATCTCTGCTGAAACCATGCACACACCCTCGGTCGCCAGCGTGCAGATTGAGCCGGTGAACGGTTATTTTCTATCTCCACCGGGAAGAAGGATGGAACAGAGCTGGCACTTGTAGGGGACACACAGCAGCCTGCGCCCCCGTGCTGCCTCCAGCCATGCCGCCTCTCCTGTCCTGTTACAACACCGCCCCCAGGGGCCCGGTCCCCTGGACGTATGAAGACCATCTCGCTGATCCGTCTCTTTGAGGATTTCACGCTAACTGGACCCGGCGAACAGGAAGGAGCGAGCACTCTGTGTGTCCTGCTGAGATACCTGCTTTCCAGAGGGTAGACAATCCGGCAAGGATTTCAGGTGCTGCCACGTTAGGGTGGCTCGCCGCACATCAGGGTTCTTGCTCGGCTTCTTTGAATTCTGGGGGCAACAAACCCCTACGCGGTGCCAGCTGTGCGGGGCCGGAGCAGAGGGCACTGTGCAGCAGGTCCAGGTTGGGGCAAGCTTCCCTGCCTCTCGGGCTTTCTGACTTGGAGATCCAGTGGCGCTCAGGAGACCTGGGGGGATGCAGGAGCCCCAGTTGGAGAGTGTCGTGGAAGGGCGCTCCGATTCTGGAGCAAGGCTGTGCTGCCTGAGCAGAGAACCATCCACCATTTGAGATGTAGCTCCCAGAATGCGACTGAGCCCGCAGAGACCGGGCGCCTGACCATGGGACATGAAGTGATGATCACCCAGAGCTGCCCCACGAGCTGGCTGTTGTTAAGTGGGTGTGGCAGCTGTCCAGCAGACGGCGGAAATGGTTGATCTGGGCTTAGGACGAGGTGAGTCTCGAGGGTCAAGAAGTTACCTAACAGGTGGCCCAGATGCTGAGGTCATCTATCCTGTTGCATGGACACCTCCCCTCCGCTCAAATAAATCTGTGGTGTCATGTGGGGGTCAGATCCTTACAATCAAGTGACAGAGGAGAAGCCACCTCCAGCCTGGTCCATGGATGTGCCAGCTCAATATGTCAGTTGAAGGTGACAGTGGACCATGGGCCACACAGCCCACTCCAGGGTGACATTGAAGGACGGTGTGACAGCGGCAAGTGGAAAACCTCCCAAGGCTGAAATGTGAGCAGAACACTTGGTTTCCAACTTCATAGGATTCACCTCTGGGTGCTTCCACACCCAGTGGGCACTGAGTGGGCCACTGCAGCCTGGTGAGGACAAGGGTACGCAGCCTCGGCCCTCAGGACCAGGGTCTGGGTCACCACGTCAGGCAGTTACTTAAGGAGCAGAAGTGCTGGCCAAGGGCAGGTGGGAGAGGACAGAGAGGATGACCCTCAATTACGGCCTCAGGCTTGGGGCAGCCGAGGGGATGGACTGCGGCCTGTCCCACTGGCCCTAGGTTGTCTTTTATGGCTACTGCTGCTGTGACAGCCACCACCTTGAAGAACCAGTGACATGCGGAGCCAACGTGAGTGCTGTGGGTGGCTCCCAGCTGCCGTGGTGCAGGTGCCGCGGCCCCTGCGCTGCCTCTGCTGTAAGCAGCTGCCACCTCTAGCTCCCTCCATCGCAGAGCAGGAGGGGGTGCAGTTGGTGATAAAGGACAATTCAGGGCTGCATCCACGTGCTCTGTGGGGCCCCGCAGGATCGGGTCTGGCTGCCCCAGGCCAGTAAAGCGCCTCATTGGCTTTTCTTCTTTCCTCCTCCCTCCCAACCCCCTGCCCCTGCTTCAGGCATATCACCCCTGGGACTGGGTTGAATAGTGTCCCCTGAAATGAATGTCCACCCAGAACCTCACAATGTGATCCTATTTGGAAATAGGGTCTTTGCAGCTGTAACTAGTTAAGATGAAGTCATATTGGATTTGAAGGTCCTAAATCTGATGGCAGGTGTCTTGATAAGAAGAGGAGAGGCGCACAGAGAAAAACACCACGTGATGATGTAGGCAGGGATCAGGGTGATGTGTCTACAAGCCAAGCAATGCCCAGGGTCGCGGCAGCACCAGGTGCCGGGGAGAGGCCTGGCACGATTCTCCCTCAGAGCTCCGGGAGGAGCCCGTCGTGCCAGCGCATGGACCGTGGACCTCTGGTCTCCAGACAGGGAGAGGATGGGTCTCTGCTGTTTCAGGCCCCCCAGCATGCGCACTTTGTTACGGCCACCCCAGGGCACTGACACTTCCCCCAAAAAGCTTCCTGCACCCAAGTCCTTGTCTCAGCCTGTGCCTTCGAGGGAGCCCAACAATGTCCCCAGGCGTGAACTCCACTTGGCGAGTGTGCCCTCCGCCCCACTTAGAGGACAGGGCCAGCGCTCGTCTTGCCCCTGCTACAGGCAAGGGAGGGAAGCCAGGGCACTGTCTCCTGCCCCTCCTGCCCCTCCAGCCTTGGGGAGAGCTGTCCCTGCTCTCAGGTAAGCGTCTAAGAGTCTACACACCTTCCAGGCTCCACTAGGGACGACGGACGAGGAAGTTGCCAGCCCCCAAAGACTGTCCCTGCTGGAACGAGGCGCATACGGAGCCCAGGCCACCTCCCTGCCCGTGGAGCCGGCCGCAGGTGCTGACACTCCCTTCCCAAGCCGGCTCCTCTCAGCTGCAAACCTCGATCCGCCCCTGGCCTTCCATCTGCTCGTGTCATCACCACCAGAATAGAACTCGGGTTTAAAAAGCATCGCCCTTCCCGTTGCTTCTTCCTGGCCCTGTGAGTCTGTGGGCAGAAATAGCAGCCTGCGGGCTGAGGAGGAGATGGCTGGCTATGGAATCAGCGGAGGCTTCTGCCCGGGTGAGCCTCGCTGCGTGGGTGCCCGAGGCCGTCACAAAGGCCGGCTTTAAATAGCTCCTTGTGGGTACGTGCAGCAGAAGGAGGGCAGCCTGCAAGCAGTGGTGAAGGCAGGGAGAGGCGGCATGGGGTGGGCAGGGTCCTGGCAGCAGTGGGGAGTTGGCCCCCCAGCCTCTGCATCCAGGTGAGCCCGGCAGCTCTGTGACCCTTGACCCTATCTGCGCATCCTGCTGGAGGCCTGGGCAGAGGGCCGAGCCTTGGGGCAGGACCCTAGGTGCTCCTGGGTGGAGGGTGGTGTGTGCAGTCTTGGGCCCAGACTGGCACCTTCAGTGCACCATCTGGGGCTTGGACCCCTCACCCCAGGGCAACTCTTTGGGTTCCAGGGAGGAGGAAAGCAGTGGTCCTGCGCAGGGTCACCCAGATGAGAGGGTGTCGAGGTGGGGAAGGGGAGAAAGGGGCCACCGTCCCTGGGCATCGCTGTCCGCATTCATAGAGCTGGTCAGGCTTAGTCTGCCGCCCCCACTGTCCGAAGGTGGCCTAGAGCCCAGCTGACCCACATCCAGGCTCTGCAGCTCTTTGGCCACCTGCTCGGCTCGTCCCCAGGTCCTCCCCATTTGCAGCTCCTGGTCACACTGGAGCCTGGAAGCCCTGCTCCCTGACCACCCCACCCCCTGGGATGATGCTGCCAAGTCCTGCAGCCTAGTTCTTTACAGCCGGGGCCCAAAGGGGCAACCTGGTGCCAGAGGGATCCATAGGGGGCGAGAAGCCTTCAAGCTGGAGGTGGAGGTGGAGGTGGAGGTGGCGAGCCCTGGGCTGTGGTTTGGGCAGAGGGGCCAACGCCCTCCTCTGCCCTCAGACACGGCCTGTCCTTTGGGAAGTAGCTGGGCCCTGCACCTCAACGGTCACTGCAAGATAAACCTTGCCCATGGCGAGCCTCCTCCAGCATTCTGCCCCCATGGCCTGGGGCCACTGCAAACCCCTCAACAGGTTCCCCCAGCTGAGGGCAGATGGCCCAGCAGGGCACAATTTTGGTTCACACAGAGTCACTGTCATGCTCCCCTCAAGGTGGCTTGGAGTGGGGCCACCCTGAGAGGTGCACCACGGGGCCAGTGGGGCCACAATCTGGCCACCGCCCTGATCACAGCAGGGCACTGGGCCTGGCTGACCCTGTCCGTGGGAGCCAGCATCCCCAAAGCTCAGCAGACAGCAGAGCCCACACAGCTGCTCCTCAGATTGCAGCCTCTGTGTCTTCCGGTGTCATGACCTGCTCTGCTTTGGTGCCATGGAAAATCTGGACCCCTTATTCACAGCTGCCTGTCAGATCTCCGATGACCGAGGGTTGTCAAGCTGTGGCCTGTCACCCCGCGTCCGTGGTGGCAGCAGAAGTGGGGAGGGGCCGGAGGGTGTTTGTGGGGCCTTGGTGGCCTCTGTTCTCCCCTCACCACATCTGAGAAGGCACTGCAGTGGCAGCCTGGCTGTGGGACCAGGAAACCAAGGGGGCATTGTGACTCCTCAAGCCCCTCCAGACCCCTGCATCTCTGCCCCTCTCACTGATGTCCTGTACATGGCCACATGGCTCAGCCTCCAGGACACAGCCCCTGAGCCCCTCTGTCCTGAGTCTGCCTCCAAGTCCCTCTGACCCAAGCCCCTCGAGGCCGCGGCTGGAGGAGAGCGCTCCAGGCACCAGGTGCGGCTCAGGCACCAGGAGAGGACACCACAGCCCAGCCGCAGCGACAGAGAAAGGAACCGGCGGCCAAAGGCTTTTTTTTATTTCATGCTGGGACTAAAGGCCCACGAACGTCCTTCTCCACCATTTCACCAGACAATGAGCACCGTCCACACCTGGGCTCCTCCTGCTCCCAGTCCCATGGAGCAAAGTCCTAGAATCAGGGCCATTTCTGAGCCAAATGCATAGCCCCCTGAAGGCCCTGCGCCCACCTGGCCCAACCTCAGGGTCAGGCGGCTCTAGCGCTGGGAAGGAGGAGCTGGGCCGGGGTGTCTGCAGGGCAGGCATGTGGGAGAGCCCAGGCGGTGTCCGGGAGGGTGGGGACAGCGAGGGGCTTAGGGAGGCCGAGGCTTCCCTCTTGTTCTATGTGGTCTGTTGTCGTCCCCACTTTGAGACACGGAGCAGGCACACCCATCCGAGGGGCCTTTCTCCCCAGAGCCTCTGGGCAGCAGGACAAGTGAAGCCCCAGCCCCAGCCTCACATGGTGTAGGCTGTCCAGTAGATGACGTTGACGGCAGCGAAGGCCGCGGGGAACACAGCACGGGCGTAGATGTCAATGGTGTCCGCGTCGATGGGCTTGAAAAGTGCACGGAGGCCCCCCTGAGCCCCCGAGCGTGGCCCACCCTGCTTCTTGGTCTCCCCAGTCTCCACCTCCACCGACCTGTAGGAGCCCATGAGGTTCCTGGGCACACGGCACTGCCGGCGGGACACAGCCAGCTCCTGGGTGACACCCGCGGCCGAGAGGGAGAAGAGCACGATGGCGTTCTTCACATCCATCTGCCCAGGGAGGAGGAGGAGGAGGACGCAGGGCTGAGCGGCCAGCCCGCCTGCACAACGGGGACCCCCACCCAGGCCAGCAGCTCCATCCCTCGGCGAGCCCCGCTGTGACCCGCAGCAGGTGGGGCCTGAGGACCTGGGCCTGCTCTCCTGGAGCCCAGGCTGCAAGTGACATCCCCAGAGCAGCTGGTAGAAGCCCCCGGCTGGACCCAGGAACATGTGCCCCCACCACCCAGAGCCAGGCGTGCGCAGGGTGTGGGGCGCTGTCCTTGGTCCTGAACGTGAAAGAACCAGCCCTGCCAGCCTCACCTCGGCCCTCTGCTCTGTGACCTTGACCTTGGCCTTTTGCTTCTTCCGGTAGTCAGCATTGAAGTGGGCAAAGGCGTACTCCACCAGTGCGGCAAACACAAAGACATAGCAGATCCAGAAGTACACATCCAGCGCCTTGATGGCTGACGCCCGTGGGAGGGAGGAGCGAGCACTGACCATCAGCGTGGTCATGGTCAGCACCGTGGTGATGCCTGGCAGGAACAGGTGGCAACATTGCTGGAGCCCCTGCCATTTCACCACCCTCACCCCATCTCAGCCCAGGTGCAGGTCGGGTTCCTCTGACCAGGCCTGGCCTGGCTGGCCACAGGCCTGAGGGGCTGGAGGGCAAGGCCCGGGCTCATGACTAATGGGGTGGCGGTCCTGTTCCTGGGCTCCTGCCCTCCCACCAGCTCCCTCGGAGGACAGGCCAGGGCCCCATACCTAGAGACACCCTGGCGGGCACTGCGGCCTGGCTGATCCAGAAAGACACCCAGGACATGGCGACCAGGAGGATGGAGGGCATGTAGGACTGGATGATGTAGACGCCCCGGTTCCTCCGCAGGTGGAAGTGCAGGCTGAGCCGGGGGAACTGGCCGGCTGCAGGGGGACCGCCCCTGTCAGGACCCAGCACGTCCCTCGCCTGACCCGCCACACACCATGGCACTCGGGGGAAGAGGAGGGTTTGGCAGGCACTGAGGGCCACTGCAGGCTTCAGAAGAAGGATGACCCTAGACTCCTGCCTTCCCCACCTTTCCCACACAGCCTGACGGGTCAGGGGTCCTCGGGCCCTGGGCCTGGCCTTAGGAGAGAGGCCGGCCCTGCCACAGGGCCACCCAGAGGCAGGATTCCAACATTGCTGCACTGGCCCAGAGGGACCCTCCCACAGTGGGGTTGGCTCACCTCCTTCTCTCCCAGCCCTCCTCCATGCAGAGCCAAGCTCAAGGCAAGTGCCAGGCTGGGCTCACTGGCTCTGATGGTCAGGCAGCAGGGGTGGGGGAGGGGCAGGAGGGGCTAGGACGCATGGCAGCCCCAGGAGGCTTGTCCCCACCCCAGAGCCCCTGCAGTCCTGGGGCTCAGGGAGACCCCCACACCCTCAGGCACCCAACGCGGACTGCCGCTAGCCCCTGGGAAGCGATGAAGGACCAAGGAATAAGATGAAGAAAATCTGACCCATGTCTGCACTGTGGCATATCCTTAGTCCCTCGGTCGGGCCCAGCCTGTGCCCGTCAGTGGTTTTCCAGCTGCATCCACATGGCCCTCAGAGCCTGCTAGTGGCTCTGTTAGAGCGTTAGAAAACCACAACGCGGGCTCACAGGAAGAGGCCACCAGAGGCCAAGTTACCCGACTTGAAGTTCATCAGCTCTGTGGTGAACCGGTAGCTGGTGATGGTGAACTGGGCCAGCTGCAGCTTGTCCAGACCGTGGATCTGCTCCTGGTTTTCTGACCAGTAGTAGACGATATCCTCTGACGAATAGCCATCTGCAGGAGAACCCACAGATGGGCAGCAGAGCCCGAACCCCCCGGCCCCTGGCAGCCCCTGGCAGGAGTGCCCTGCCCAAGCGGGGAGCCTAATACAGCAGAGAAAGGGGACAGTGCAGGAAGACCCAGCCAGGAGCAAGGAGGCCTGGGGCCACGGCCACACTTCAGGCAGGTGGTCAGGGACAGAAGTGCTGGGAAAAGTGCAGGTCACCATCACCAAGTGACCTGCAGGGGCTGCCATGCTGGCCCAGTGATGCAGATATATGTCTTGTCTGGACTGTAAGGGCCGGCCGACCCAGGCACGGCACCGCCCAGTGGGAGGAGGGCTATGCTGCTCAGACCTTCCGGTCCCTTCTCTTCCTGCCCAGGTCTCTCCCTCCATGGATGCCCCGTCCCAGGTGCCTCTCTGCCCCCAGGCCAGGCTGGCTGCACAGGCCCTGACAGTCTGAGTCCCATGCCAGCCGTGGAGAAGCCAGTGTGGCCGCCCAGAGCGGAGCCCCCACCCCGTCCCGGGCCCAGCCGGCACTCACAGCTCTCCAGGTGCAGCATGCACTCCTGCTCATCCATGGGGTACTTGGCCAGGTCCATGTCACAGGCCACCGTGGAGGTGATTCTGCCCAGACAACACGCCAGTGAGATCCCCAGTGGGGAGGCCACCAGCCCTGATCCAGCAGCTCCCATGCCCCCAACAAGTGGAGAGGCCCTGTGTCTGCCCAGAGGGGCTGCCTCGCAGGAGCGTCGGCCAAGCGGCCTCTCAGGCTTTGTGGGCAAGGTGCCCGCATCTGGGCGGAAACTGGAAACTCGTCACTGGAAACACATCTATGGATCTTTCTTCAGGAATCAAGAACTAGAAGGGCCGGCCCCGCGGCCAAGTGGTTAAGTTCGCGTGCTCTGCTTCGGTGGCCCAGGGTTTCACCGGTTCACATCCTGGGTGCGGACATGGCACTGCTCATCAGGCCATGCAGAGCCGGTGTCCCACACAGCACAACCAGGGGCACGCACAACTAGAATATACGTCTATGTACCGGGGGGCTTTGGGGAGAAGAGGGAAAAGAAAACAGATTGGCAACAGATGTTAGCTCAGGGCCAATCCTTTAAAAAAAAAAGAATGGGAGTTCATTCACTCTCCTCACCCTTCAAAATGCCTGGCTTAGTCGGAGGCCCAGAAGGCATGCCCTCCGGGACGACCCCCAGGCGTTCCTGCTGAACATGCAGCGCAGGAAAAGGCCCCCATTGCCAAGTGTTCTGATCTTTCAAGAGAATTTAGATTCTTCTATAAATCTCCTGAGTTTTAAAATCTTGGCAATTAAATTCCATTTTTAAAAGGCACTTGTCAGAAAACACGTGTTTAAGCAAATAGACGTACATGTATGCTCATAGCGGCATGACTCACAAAAGCCAAAAGGTGGAAACAGCCCAGGTGTCTGTGGATGGATGAGTGGACAGGCAAACTGGGCCATCCATGCAGCAAGGGTTCCCCAGCCACAGAAAGGAATGAAGCCCTGATGAACGTTACAGCACAGATGAAGCTCAAAAACGCTATGCCAAGTGAAAGATGGCAGACACAAAAGGTCACATAGCATAAGATTCATTTTATACGACATGTGCAGAATAGGCAAATCCATAGAGACAGGAAGCAAGTTGGTGGTTTCAGGGGCTGGGGAAGGGGCATTGGGGAGTGACTGCTTAATGGGAATGGGGTCTCCTTTTGGGGGGATGAAAATACCCTGGAACTAGATAAAGGTAATGTTTGCATAACATTGTGAATGTGCTAAATGCCACTGGATTGTTTACTTTATTTTTTATTATTATTTTTTTTTAGATTTTATTTTTTTTCCTTTCTCTCCCCAAAGCCCCCCGGTACATAGTTGTATATTCTTAGTTGTGGGTCCTTCTAGTTGTGGCATGTGGGACGCCACCTCAGCGTGACCCATTGAGTGGTGCCATGTCCGCACCCAGGATTCGAACCGACGAAACGCTGGGCCACCTTCAATGGAGCACACGAACTTAACCTCTCGGCCACGGGGCCAGCCCCTGAATTGTTCACTTTAAAATGGTTAATTTTACAATGTGTGAATTTCACCCCAATTTAAAAAACAAAAGGCACCATGTTGGCCAAAAAACTACTTGACATTTTATAAGCAGCTGCTGTTTTCAGGAATAACTAGCCCGCCCAGCTCCCAGCAGAGCGTCCTGGGTTTTCCCTGCAGCGGGCTGGTGGGCGGGTCCCGGGTCTTACCGGATGCTGTAGAGGATCACCCCATCGGGCTGCAGCCGGATCAGCTTGTTCTCCACCGTCACGTCATGGAACCAGGCGGACTTGGCATTCACAATGAAGGTGTCTGGGAGCCACAGTTTGTCCACGAAGCGGCTGTCCAAGCCCAGGGTCTCGTTGGTGTGGTTGTAGGACAGCCTGCTGTCCCGCCAGCTCTGGTGCAGAAACACCGTCATGGTGTACTCCTGCGGGGGAAGGTGGGAGGGGCCCTGGCCATCAGCCTGCTCCTCTCCTGGGGACACATGGCCGGGAGGCGGGGTGGAGGTGGGCCAGCACCTACCATGTTCACCTCCGAGATGTGGTCGATACTGGCCACCTCGATGGCGAGTGCCACATTCACAGGGGGGCCTATGAGGAAAGAGCAGGACATGAGTCCGGTGGGGCTGAGTGAGGCCAGGCCCCAGCACCCCTGGCCACTTGGCCAGACCAGACTCTCCACCCAGCGACAGCCCAGGCAGGCAGGAGGGGGAGGACAGCCAGGGGTTCTCAGGGAGGACCATCTTGGTGCAAGTCTGCCATGAGGCCTGAGAAGATCCACCATCGTGGCCGTCTCCCTGGGGGGCTGGTACTCGAGGTCTGATGCACCCGCAGGGGAGCCCACCCAGAGTCAAGCGGGCTCACACCCACAGCTGGACCCAGCGGCCTGTCCCTACCCCTGCTGGCCACTCTCACCTCCAATGCCGGGCCGGAAGTTCCGGGCATAGCCCTCCATCAGGCCGTCCAGGTTAGGGAGCCAGGATATCTCCAGGTTGGAGCCAACATAGTCCCCAATGTCATTCATTGCTCTGGAAATGCAGGCCCACTGGTCACAGGCAGGGCTCCAGGCACAGAGCCTGGGGTGGACAGGGAGGACCATGCGAGGGCCCCTCCAGGCTGGACCTGGTCAGTCCCAGGAACTCACCCTCGAAACAGGGAGCCCCAGAGGGTGCAGGGCCCAGGATTCCTCGGTCTTTTCCATCCGCATCTCTGCTCAGCTTCCGCCCCACCCACCCGGCCTCAAGGGAGGCTGTCTGGGTCAGGCAGAGTCCCCAGCCCGAGCCAAGCCCCCAGGCTTCCTCCACAGCCAGCCCATAGAGGGTGGCCTGTGCCAGAGTCCCCATCCCTGGGGTCCTGCATCCAATAGGCCTAGGAGGACCTCGACAAGGGCATATGGTCACCCTTTCAGCCTCTGAGGGCAAAGTGTCCTACAAGAGGTAACTCGGGAGAAAAGACGTGTGACCAGGAGGTTGAGGGCCGTGGTGGGTGAAGGGGGCAGATAAGGTCCCAAACCCAGGACCCAGGGCCAGGACGAGGGGCCATGGGGAGGCTGCAGGTTGGCCTCCTGCTCTCTGTCCTTTCCCAGGCAGGCCCCAGAGATCCCCAAATTGTCATGTGCTTCTGGGGCTTAGCCTGACCCCAGAGCAGCGGGGCCATGCCCACTGGCAATGGGCCAATCTCACTGACAGCCTGTGCTGGTCACGTTTGTCCCTGGCAGGGCCACAAAGGATGTCCCACAGGTGGCAGGCGTCTTGTGGCCCCCAGACCCCAGACTGCCAGAAGCACTGAGCTCCCCAGCAGCTTCACCTGCCCACCCCTTCTTCTGCTCACCTGTCCTGGGATGAACAGTGTCCCCCAAAATTCATGTCTACTCAGAACCTCAGAATGGGACGTTATTTGGAAATAGGGTCCTTGCAGATGTAATTAGTTAACATGAGGTCATTCTGGATTAGGGCTGGCCCTAAATCCAATGACTGATGTCCTTATAAGAAGAAAAAACAGAGACACGCAGGGAGAAGGCCATGTGACAGCAGAGGCAGCAACTGGAGTAATGTGTCTACAAGCTAAGGACTCCGGCCGCACCAGGAGCTGAGAGGCCTGGAGCCGACTCTCCCTCAGAGCCTCAGAGGGATCTGGCCCTGCCCACACCTTTGTCTCAGACTTCCGGCCACCAGAATTATAAGAAAATAAATCTCCCTAGTTTTAAGACCCCCGGTTTGTGGTCACTTGTTGCAGGAGCCCCAGGAAACTCAGAACCCTCCCTCCTGCAGCTCCCGGTGGGGAGGGGCATTTCCCCTCAATCTGAGCACAGGGAACGAGGAGGGCACTCAAAGATAACCCTCCTGTTACTCTCTGAATCACACCTATTCCCTGGGGAGCAACTTGGGCCAAGGCCTCCAAGTCACCCTGGGCCCCAAGCCTGGCCAGAGCCTGCGGGGGAGACACCGGGGCCAGGACCTGGATGCAGGGGCTGCTGGGACCCTGAGGCCATGGCTCACTCTCCCTGGAGACAGATCCCCAAAGCCAGCCATGGCCACGTGCCCAGGTGCCCCACTCTGGGTCCTCGTGGCCACCTTGAGGAGACCACCGTCCCTTTGAGGCTCCCACCACACAGCTGGCCACTGTCCGCTCCCAGCGGTGGGAGCCACACCCCACTCTCCCCTTGGCCTCCTGCACCCTCAGGGACTGTCTCCCATCCGGCTGCAGTCTGGCACATGGCTCCCGCTCCCATTGCGCCTGTCAGTACAGCCAAGTGGAGGCCCTGTCCAGCCCCTTCACCAGCACCCCATGGGCCCACTGCAGCCCATGCCCCCCGTCTCTCCAGCTCTGGCCTCCTCTGGCTCCCTGCTCCTCCAGAGCCAAGCGAGGCTTCCTCTGAGCCTCTATCTCCGAGCTTCCCCCTCCAGACGCCCCCTCTGCTTCAGCAAGCCCCTCACCTGTCCCCAGGCCTGTGGCAATTGTTCCCTGACTCCCGCCCTCTCCAGTGTCCCCTCTTCTAGATACCCCCTCCAGACCCTCCACCGTCTGACCCCCATTTCCTCATGCTGAGTCCCCCCACCCCCACTGAACCCTCCATCCCCTCTCCTAGTCCTGCCTTGAGATACAGCCCCATGCCCCCTCTGGGGTCAGGACATCATGACCAGGACAGTCATGGCCCAGGCCCACGTGGAGGTCAGAGTCTGTGAGGGGGACAAAGCAAGTGGCTTTAAGTGTGATGAGAGTTACAGAAAGGGGAGGTCAGGACCCTCTCTGGTTGAGGGGGGAGGGCGGGGGACAGCCTCCCTGAGAAAGTGACATCGGAGCCCAAAGGCAGAGAACTGTGGACCATGGCAGAGAAGAGAGGGGAGGCGAGCGAGGGTTCCGTGCCATGGGGCATGGAGGGGGAGCGGGAGGCGTCGTGGCGAAGAGCAGAGAGGGATGGACCTCAGAACTCCTCCAGGGTCAAGGAGTGGATGTGGGGCCCTGGACAAGGGGCTGCATTAGACTCTCAGAACAGGATTCTGGTGAAGGAACGGGACGTGTCACGGGGGAATCAAGCAAATGAACCTGGGCTGTCGCAGGGGTTGGGGTGATGCTGGGCTGGACCAGACGGAACGGTGCGGGGAGGGAGGCAAACACACCTGAGGTAGGAAGGGGCCTGGCCCATCGGGGTGACGCCCCGGGACCTGGGGTTTCTGGCTGGAGCAGCGGGGGGTGGGAGGGGGCAGAATGAGCTCTGCTGCTCAGTCTGCCGGCCTGAAAGCCTGCCTCACACGCTGGACAGTCCGGTGGGTTCCAGAAGCCCTCGAGGGCTGCTGGGTTGGGGCAGCACCAGCAAGGGTGGGTCCAGACCCATCGAATGTCTCCCACACTCTTGAAGATGGTTGAATTTGAACCAGGAGTTCTATAGCTAAGGAAACCTGCAAACCCAGATCTGTGCCCAGGGCCACCTCGGCCAGGGCGGGGAGAGGGCAGGCACCTTGGTAACAAAGTATAAGAAGGAATTAAACTGAGTCCTGGCCCCAAGTGAAGCACGATTAAAAATGCAAATGGAGGTCACCCTGAAGGTCAGGTGTAAAGGGATTCAAACGAGGCTTTATTTTTGGATGCACCCAGCTGCCATTTGCTGCAGCAGCAGGCCTGCCTGGAACGAGGTCGTTAGGAGACACTGCCCTTCCCTGGCCTCAGGGTGGTGGCACAGGCGGTCACACCTTCCCTCCGCCCTGGTCCCAAGCGCACTCGGGGGCATGAGGGCAGGGCCTGCGTTAAGCCTCTCACCATGAAGCTTGCCTGGAAGCGGCAGGATACCAGCAGAATCTTAGCCTGTGTCATGGCTAACAGACACCCCCCCCCCCCGTGTCACCTCTCACCTGGGACAGGGGTCAGTTGTTTTTCCAGCTGCAAAGAGACGTGGAGGGCCAGAGGGCCAGGGAGGATGTGCTACATGCCCGTCTGGGTTTGGGAGGGCCCTGTGCTCCTCCTTCGGTTCAGGCAGAGTTAACAGGGTGGGTAGGGTACACTCTCCACGTGGGGGGAGCTCAGCTTGGGGTAAGAATGCGGTGACTGACCAGCATCTTGGGAGAGAACTTCAGACTCATCTGTCAGCCTTGGAACCCAGCGATGGCCTAGGCGTGGGGTTCCTTTGGGTAGACGAACAGAAGTTCTGACTCCCAAGGCAAAGCAGCCACCCTGAAAACACTGGCAGCTTCCACCTGGGACTGCCCTTGGGTCATCAAGCCTCCCTCCCTCTCTTGGCCCCATTGAGAAACAAGCCCACCCTTGTCACTTATCTGTGCCCCTGGGCACAGAAAGGGAAGGTGGGCGTAGCTGAGTGAGGCAGTGGGGCCCTCCTCCCTCCGAGCATCCTTCCACGGTGCCCACGGATCCCTGGCAGCTCTGCTTTTAGAGCAACACCAGCCACGCTGGCACCTCAGTTACCAAGGCGAAGAGGAACACCACGACGATCGCGCCGTGAGCTGGCGAGGCAGGAGCTGCGGGCACAGCTTCTCCAGGGAGATGGAGGTGCCAGCAGCCCGGGGAGGGCCACCCACTCGGGTGTGCAGCTGGCAAGCTTGGGTTCCTGCTGTGTGAGCAGATCTTCAGACTCAGAGAATGCATGGCTTTGACCCAACCCACAAATGCTGCACAGCGCAGTCCCTTCTTACCCCACTGAGCCATTCCCACCAGGAACCCCTGGGCTCCAGACTGAGCAGCGGCAGCCAGAACAGGCACTCCTGTTAGTCCCACTGTCCTCCCATATCGCTACAAGGATGAGAGCGAGGGAAGGGAGGATGCTGTCCTCCTGGTTTCCAGAGTGGAGGGACACTGAAGCTAATGGGAGAAGAGGCCCCGAATGGACAGCACTGTGCTGTCTGTAGGCCACCCACCAAGGCTTGCAAAGCCCAGAGGCTCTCTTCTCAGCCAGGGCTCTCGGCCTTCCTGCACAGGCAAACAGACCCATCCCTCACCCAACACCCCAAGCCAGATGGGGGTCTGAGTCCAGAATGTTTCAGATTCTAGGAAGGTGATATGGTGCACACGGACTTAGAGGGGGGTCTGGAGAATTTCCCAGCAGGAAATAGATAAATACGCCCCAAAAGTAGGATGAATAAATACAAAACGAGCCTCATGTCAGAGCAGAACAGGCTTCACTACCAAATGAGTCTTGGTGTCAGACTTGGGCTAAGACTTTGGGGTTCAGAGCGGCATGGATTTCAGAATCTCAGCTATGCGGCTGTCGGCCTGGGCCAGAAACTGATCCTGGGCGTCCAGCACGTACGTCTACAGCCACACCTCAGTGCTTTGACCTCCCTGGTACCATGAAGTAGGAAAAGGAGAAAGGACAGAGGCCATGGGGCTTGAAAAGAGAGCTAAGCTCTCCCGAGGACAGGGGCCGCCTCCACACTGCCTGTGATCTTGGGCGCCACAGCCATGTCTGCGGCTGGACCCAGGCCTTCCTGGCTCTGCCCCCCTCCGCTCTGACAAGGAAACCCTGACCCCCGCCCCCCCACACACACCCCTGCGTGTTGCATGCTGCCTGAGTGCCTACAGCTGAAACACAGGCTGATGTTCCGCCCCTTCCAGTTTCCAAAGTCTGCACATCGGTTGGTTGCACCATGAAGTCCACAACGCTGGGGGGCCATTTTTTTTTTTTTTTTGAGGAAGATTAGCCCTGAGCTAACTGCTGCCAATCCACCTCTTTTCACTGAGGAAGACTGGCCCTGAGCTAACATCCGTGCCCATCTTCCTCTACTTTATATGTGGGATGCCTACCATAGCATGGTGTGCCAAGCGGTGCCATGTCCACACCCAGGATCCAAACCAGCGAACCCCGGGCCGCCAAAGCGGAATGTGCGCACTTAACTGCTGTGCCACCGGGCTGGTGGGGGGCTGTTTTTGCTCTTGTTTTTCTGCAGCCCTTGCCCTGAGTTGATTTTCAAAAAGGCCCCTCACTACTCCACGGAAGGTGGCCAGAGACCCAGAGCCCACTTCAAGTCCCCTTGAGAAAACGAGCTGGGACCATGTTGGTCCCTGGAAGCCAGAGGGAAGGAGGCTCAGCCCAAGGAGCCCTTTCTTCTTAGCCTCTTCCTTTACTGGGGAGACAGCCTCCCCGCACACACAGGTAGGAAGAAATCACCAGTCTTTCCTCTGCCCTGGTCACCTGGCTCCCTTCTACCTGCGCACTTGAGTTCAGTCGAGAGCATTTGAAATGGCCCCTAAAAGGAGAGCCCAGAGCATCCTGGGTGCGCGCTCTTCCATAACCATACTCAGCCCTTACGACGTGCCTTCTTGTCCACCAAGACCTGCTAAGGGCCGCAGAAGCCGGTGTAGCCCTGCTCCCCTACGAAGGGGACAGCCACCTGCCTGTGTTCTCAGGACCCATCCCTCCTGCCTGTTTGCAGCTTGTGCCACGCTGAGCGTCCAGCCCCCACCTGGAAGGGCACCAGCCAGCCAGGGACCGGCCAAGTGCTGGCTGGGGCCGAGGAACCGGAGCTCACCACGCGAGCCCGGGTACCGGGGAGAATGGGGGGGCGGCCCCGACGACCTCGTCCAGCCGGGTGGCGCCGGTTCAGCACCGAGACAGCGGACAGCACCCAGGCGGTGGCGCGGCGGGAGAGGACGGCCCGCGGGGGAGACGCAGGCGGGGGCGCCCCGGGAGAGCTGGGGCGACCGGGGGTCCGCGCCGCGCTCCATCCCGGCAGCCGGGTCTCTGCCGGCGCGGGGCTCCCCACCCAGGGCGACCCCCGGCGCAGCGCGGACGCGGCCTCGCTCACCTGGCGCCGCGGTGCTGGCGCGCGCAGAGCAGCAGGAGCGGGGGCAGCAGCCAGGCCAGCGCGTCCATGGCCTCGGCGGGCTCCGCGCTGGGCCGGGGGAGGCGTCGGGGTCCGGCCGGCCGGGGCGCTCGTGAAGTTGCTTCGCCCGCGGCCGCGGCGGCGGCACAGGCGGGGCGGGAGCGAGAGGCGCGCGGCGCGGACGCGGGGGCGGACAGAGCGTGGAGCCGGGAGCCCGCCCCGCCCCGATCCCGCCCGCTCCCCCACCCCCGGCCGCCCCGCCCGCCCCACTCCTGAGCCGGGCCGACTTCTCCTGCCCCGAGCCACGCAGCAACCCCACCCCCCCCCCCCCCGCCACGGCTCTCCGTGCCCCTCTCCCCGCGCTCCCGGGCCGGACCGAGTCTGGCCCTCCCCACGCCACCACTGCTGCCCTCGCCGGCCGCAAACGAGTCCCTCCGCGCGTCTTCCCGGGAGGCGACCCAGGCGCACGACCCGCGTGGACGAGGCCTCCCGCTGCCCCGCCGGGCCCCTGCGGACCGACGGGCGCAGCAGAACCTGGTCCCTGGCGGAGTTTGCCCGGGGCTGTTCGTGGGGGTCACAAGTCCCGGGGAGCTGGTTCGGGCTTTGCGGGCAGGGTGGCTGAGGGCAGCGTCCTTGCAGGCTTCACCTTCTACGGGGAGAACCCCCCAACCCCCCAAGCCCAGGCTCGCCCAACACCGGCAGCTCCTTGCAAAACTCTGGCGCTTGCGGTGGAGCCAAGCAATGCGCCCGCAGAGCGTCCTGCCCACCCCCGCTGGGCGCCCCTGAGACAAGGGGCCGAGAGCGCTGCGGCCCCGCTGCCGGCCGCTCTGGTCACGGGATGCAGCGGCTTCTCTGCCGCCGGCCAGGCTCCATCACACCTGTCCACACCCGCTCTGAGGGCCCTGCAGACGGCTGGGCTCCAACCACGGAGCCATCCACGCCACACCCCCTACAGAGCTGAGAAGGTCAAGGCCTCACACGTTTTCTAGTTTAACTCTTTTGAACACAATGTTCTGCGGCAGTTTCCCCCCAAAACTGATCACAAACTTTAAACATTGTTTGGTCTCATTTGCTCACTTCTGGGCTCAATATCAGCTGACAACAGAGCGGGAACTTCTCATGAAAACACTTAGAAAGGGACAAAACGGTCCTGGAGCAAGTTGAGTCCCCTGGGTTGACCGTGGGCACTGGCCAGAGCAGGTGCAGGGGGAGGAAAGTGTAGAAAGGGCTGCTGGGAATTTCCAGTTGGGTCCTGGGCACCGAGGATGGAAAGATGGGGCTGGCTCCCTGCTTTCTTCCTAAAGCAGGTAGCAGGCTCTAAGGAAGCCAGTTAGGTCTCAGCTGTTGGTGCCTTCCGTGGAGGGTCCCTCGCCCCCGCTAAGGTGGGTCCTTTGGGCAGGGAGGCAGTGGCCTCGGTGTTCACTCACTGCAGTTCCCAATTCGCTCTGGACAAGTCTCTGGGCCTTGTGGCCTCATTCCCATTTGTCCTTCCACACAGGCTTGTTTGGAGAGTGGGGGAGCTAATCCATGACAAAGTGCCAGAGCCTGGCCTGGCTCCGAGTAAGGGCTGCGAGTATCCCTGCTAGAGCAGGGATCATGTCCGTCTGCTTCTTCACAGGTCCCTCATGTCTAACAGCCTCTGGCATACAATAGGTGCTTGACAAATGTAGGAAGATACACAGGCTCAGGGTCCCCAAAAGCCAGCACAGCAGGCACGGCCAGCATCCCTTTACTGCTTGGGACCATGCACAGCTCTCCTCTCCTGTCTTTCAGCCTCTGAGCTGGCCCAGGCGTCCGTCCCAGTGCTGTAGCTGGGCTCACGGCCACACTCCTTTCAATATCTGGGAAGAGTCAGGTGCTAACAGCCTCTGAGAGAACTTTGACCTTGAGTCACTCGACTCCGTCCAGGACGAACCAGATTGTTGCTACTTTCTTCACTCTCCCTGTCGTCTGAGGCATCCAATTCGCCTTGAACTTGCACTGCAGAGCTGTACTGTGCGTCCTGGCACAGCTCTGGTTGTTTGGTGGCATTAAATTGTCTCCTCTTCCTCAAGTCCTGGAGGCAAGCACGTTTCAAAACACAAATGGAGAACAAGGTGAAGAAGTCACCCTCAGACCCGCAGACTCAGGACACGGCCCCGCCCTCCCAGGCTCCTCTCTCGCAGCTCTCCCCAGAATGCCCGGAATATTTACTAACTTAGACAGCTAATTTCTCCCCCTGAGTCTGCCTGTTTCATCTCAGCTCTGTATCATCCCTGACTGGTTTGTGGGAGAACGGGAGTTTTCAATATTTCTCCTTCAAGTTTTTTGAGAATTAGTTTGCTGCACTTCCGAACCTTGGTTGCCTCGCGCTGACATGTGGAACCAGGGGGCCTCCCCATCCTCATCTTCATCTCCACTCAAACACGCTCCAGCTCCCCCAGAGCGGGGAAAGCCAACCTGGGGCACCCCCACCAAAGTTCCGGAAACCAGGGCCTGGGTCCTGTGTGGTCGGCCACCGGCTGAGGCCAGCCCCATGACACAGCAGTGTCCACACCTGTGAAATGGAAACAGCCCACTTCTCTCCTCCCTTGGAGAATTTGGGAAAAGCTCCTGGAGTCAGAGGTCTGGGTGCTAGCCCCACCTCTGCTCCTAAATGGCCTGTGGCCTCAGGGAAGTAATTTTTCCTGGCTTGTTTTATTCATTTGCAAAAGGAGGGTGTGAGAGTACAAATCGGTTTGGTTTCCTCGTTTCCTGGGTATCAGAAGTCCACACCCACTGAACTCTATTAAAAAGAGTCTCATTTCCTTACAAATGACAGATGACAGGTTGTCTTCATTGAAAACAACGGTCTAACTTGCAGGTGCTCAGGCTACCGCCCGTCTCTGGAAAATACTGTAGGCTATTCCCCGTGTTTATTCCACTCCTGTTGTTGTTTTTTGTGGGGGAGAACCCCATCCTCCAAGTGTGACTTTGGTGAAACTTTTGGAATCAACAAGAAGGGTCTCTGCGCGGCATGCCATTTCAGGTGAGGTCTGTGCTCCTCACCCGCACGTGGGCCCCCGACCCCTTGTCTTGGCACCACTGAGAACACAGGACAGGGGACTTGGTACCAGACCATGGGACAGTGATGAAAAAGAAGCTCGAACTTCAAACCTGAGCTGTTGGTCCCTGCGCGTGTAGATAACTGCTTGGCAGTCCCTCTGTGTCTAGTTAACTGGTCAATGGTTCCTGCACGTCTAGTTAACTGCTCGGTGGTCCCCTTTGCTGATCTGACATGCAACGCGGTGGCTTCTCGGTCAGGTGGGACCCATGCAGAGCCCTGAGGTGCCGAGACCAGGGCAGTGACTGCTGCCTCTTTCTCAGTTCAGTGCAGGGAGGCCGTATGCTCTCCCATATGGTGCTGAGAAGGACAATCACGTATCTGACCCTGGAGGGTATGGAGACTCTGCGTCCTTGGTTAGCCCCTGGCAGTCACCACAAAAGCACGGTCTGCTGGTCCACTACATTCTTGAGCTCATCAGCCTGCGGCCATTTTTGCATTATTTCTTTTGGGGAGTCGATTTGCCAGGCGCTTGCAGCCTATGGGGGGATGGCACAGAGTCCAGGGTTTGGGAGGAGAGATGGCCTGAATCCACGGCAGCAGCAGGACAGGCCCCGGGCGGTAAAGGTGAGTCACAGGGATCTGGGAGGGGAGACTGCCCTAGCTAAATTTAAAACCCTGCCTGATGGATTTGTGAGGTTGCTTTATTATTTTCCTAGGAAAATGCACCAAGTCGAGAAAATGGCAGTGACACAGAGAAGAATTTTCTTGAGCTGGGAGTGTAATTATTAATCCTGTGATTTTCAGATGGAATCCATTCATTTGGAGAAGCAGAGGGAACTTGGCAGAAAGGATCAAATGGAAAATACTCCCGGCAGCCTGAAGTCAGCCGTCTACCCAAACAGAGGGGGCCCTGCCCCAGGAGACCGGCTTAGAGTTGCTGCTGTTTTTAGTAATCGAGGCCCTGAGAATGATTAAACCATCAAACTCGGCCACTCAGAGAGTATTTTCACACGAGCCAAATGGACCTCCATGTACAATCGCTCTTACTTACTGTGGAGAAGGCAGAATTCTATTCTCGTATTTTATGTTTTTTAAAGAGGCAATTTCAATTCTTTCATGTGATAGAAAATGTTCGACACAAATTAACATTCCTGACAAAAGGGCTGTCGATCAAGTGAGAAAAGCATTCAGCTTGCGATGCGAGCAGGACTGGATCGGCAGCACGAGAACTGCTGAGAAGGGAGGCTGGGGAGACGAGACTCCACCCTGCACCCACCGGCAGGCCGCTCCGGATCCTGAGAGGAAGGCACCGGGCCCTCGGCCTCTCTGGTCTACACGCTGACCCTCTGCGCAGGACGCTGGAGGAACACAGCGGGAGATTTGCTGGAATCTTTTTCCAGCTTGAGATTTGAATATGTTCCTTAACTTCCTCAAGAAAGGCCCCTGCACAGATCAATATTCACTTAACAAATATTTATGGACTATTCATCCTACTATGTGCCAAGTATTGGTCTAGACGTTGGGTGTGAATAAGATATAAAAGGTCCCTGCCCCACTGAGCTCACCTTCTAGAAGGGAGAAGACGGACAGTCAGTGGGTAAACAAACAAAAGAGACTGTTTGAAATGTATATGCGCTGTGGAGGAATTTAAGCAGGATAAAAATAAGAAAGAATAGCTGTGTTGAGGGTGGGGGGGCACTTCAGACGGGGGTCAGGAAGAGCTGAGACCTGAATTCTGTCCTGTCCCTTCTGGAGGACCAGCCAGCCACATTAAGAGGCAGGTAAGTGTTCCCAGCAGAGAAGGGAAAGTGCGAAGGTGCGGAGGCGGGTCAGACTGGCCTGTTAAAACCGGAGCCAGGCCAGGTCAGCGCTGGCTGTGATCGAGCAGGGAGGAAGGGCAGCAGAGAGAGCCAGGCAGGAGCCAGATCACGCACAGCCCCTTCGGTTGTGGACTGGAGCCCATGTCTCATTTTTAAATCAGCTTTATTGGGACGTAATTTACACAGAATAAAATTCACTAATTTTAAACATACAATTTGATGGGTTTTGGGATATGTGTAGGTTGTACAACCACCAACATAAGCACGACACTGCACATTTCCACCACCTCAAAAAGTTCCCTCCTGCCCCTTTGCAGGCAA